TCTCTCTCTCTCTCTCTCTCTCTCTCTCTCTCAGTTGTCAGCTTGAAATGGCCTTAACACAACAACACTGCCAGTGGATCCCTGCGAGTCTTTCACTTCACAATACACAGTCACAAGAAACTTTTAGTCTATAATATATTATGTCCACGACTTTCCATAAGTCACATATACATAAGAAATGTCCAGAGGAAAACTCCTTACACATTGCATTACACAAGTCAATATCGGAACAAGCCGAAGTTGATTGAATCACTCGCGTAAATGTTATCTTCTGTGCACTGTTCTTGAATCACGAAGTCCCGTAATATTGTGGGAATTTTTTGGACAACACACCTGTCAAATTTAAAAAAAAACGAATTTAAATCCTCGACAAGTTAATAGGTCAACCCAGCGTGTTGCCATGATGCGCTTTAACGCGTTTAGAGTTAGAGTGACACGACACGAGCTGAAAGATAGGGCGCAGAAAAAGGTGTAGAATGACGCATAGGCTGGGTTGGAAACTTTTCTTTTTTCTATTCATGCAGGTGTTTTGTTTTGTTTGTTTGTTTGTTTGTTTGTTTGTTTGAGTGTTTGTTGATTTGTTTGTCTTTTCGTCCGTGTCGACACATACTACATCATTCAGGAGGCGGGCTTCGACTCTTCTTGACACGGCAAACCCGGAATGGGAGGGGTTCAACGTCTCAGCAGGACGACTGAGATACTTTATAAAAATTCTCCATATATACCGACGGTATTCGAACTTGGGTCTTTTGCGTGCGATGAGGATTATACACCTATAACCGCTACGTGGCATCAGTAGTCTCTACCGGACTCGTAATCGAGAGGCCGCGGGTTGATCAAGAGTTCGAGCCTCAGGCCCGATGTTAGGTCCTTAGGAAAGGCGGCACTTTGATACTTTATGCCAATTTTCCTCACTTCACTCTGGTGCTTAGCGTAGCTCTGGTGTGAAAGGGTACCCGGACATAGGGAAAGATCCAAATATCTCGTCAGTATATCTTATTATTAGTGTTTAGCGTCTACAAGGAAGTTTGGGATTGTTTCAGAATGCTGCATATGTATAAGGTCTGCTAGTGCTAGGGTAATAAAATAAAATTATAAAATGTAAAGCGCACACAGCTTGTATTGTTGCTGAGATGGAATTGGTGCTAAACAATAATGTTATCTGAACTATAAATATATACGGTACTTGTCATGTATATAATGTACAATGTAT